TGGGGGGGGGGGGGTTCCCTTGCTCGCCTCCTTGCCAAGGACTGTGCCATGCATTGCCAAGGCATCCGTGGGAACTGGGGGAGGGAGGGGCTGTTTTAGGTGAGCCTAAAGGGAGGGGGAGAGAAACCGGAGGGTGGAGGTACGGGGATTGGCGGGGCTGGAACAGAAGGTGGGATACCGGCCACACTGGGGTTGGGAGGGTTAAGGGCAAGACTACCGAGTCACTAGTGTAAGGCCAGATTCCCTCCTTAGAGAAAGGATGGGGGTGGGGTGGCCGGGATCCTGGTTGGAGCCACAGTACCACGCTGTACCAGTTTCCTTCCAAGGAGAACTGAGATGTGAGGTTAGAGACAGAGCAGCAGCCCTTATCTTGGATAAACTTCCCCAAAGATCCACCCATTGGAGCGCCCTCCTTTCTTCCATCTCCTGAGCAACATTATTCCTTTGAATTTTGATTGTCTACCTGCCCTAACTCCACCACGAGGGGGATGTGAGATTTAGAAAGAGGGTTACACTTGGTTACACTTGGAGCCTTTCTGGGCTCATTCCTTCTCCAGTCCCTGTTTCTCACACCCAGGAGGGTGAATCAGGAAATCTGTTCGTTGCTTTACCTTCCTGAGCTACAGGGGAGTCAGAAAACCAAAGCTGACCCAGTTTGACGAGATCTGTGGGAGAAGCATTGCGCATGGGAGAGAGGAAGTCCACCTAACCCAACTGGCTTCCCCATTTATGTCAATTTTTCATGTTCCATTGACAAGAAAGAAGGAGAGAAGGGGCCTCATCTTAAGACTATCTTTAGCCTGCCTTTAGTCTGTCTGCCCCTGTGAGTGGTGCAGCCCAGCCCTGCTTAGCATCTTCCTGCGGCTGGATTTGGCAGACAACTTTGTTGGAGCCCTACAAGCTGGCCAGGCACTGCTGGGGGAGGCCGTCGGCTTTCACAGTTCTCTCCTGAGTCCAGCACCGTTTGGGGATTGGTTATACGTTGGATTCTCTGGTAGTGCCAGTTCCCAGACACTGTCTTTTCACTTCTGTGCCCCCCCTTTCTAGTTCCTCAGAACTCCTTGTCTCCTCCTCTTTTATTCTCTGCCTCTTCAGTTCCTTCTGTTTTTTCCAGAAGGGCAGAAAGGAGCCATGAGGTGTGAAAGAATAAGACTCTCAAGGCGCTCTCTCCTGGGTGATAATTCCAATGACGACAGCTGCTGGGGCATCTGCTTCTCTTCCCATCCCTGGATCTACTCTCCTGATCTCTCCTTTGGTGACTCTCTCCGCCACCAGGGGGTCCTGGGGATTGTAGTTACACAGCCGACCTGCCATCAGCGTCACTCCTTCCTCACACACCTTGTTGTTTTCATCCCCATCTGGGACAATGGTGTCCAAGTCTGCTTCTGAAGCATGAGTTGCCGTGCCAACCACCCCCCCCCCCCCCCC